GATGAGACATCAACTAGGGCTTTTACTTGTAATCTTAATTTTATGTGGAAGGAATTTCTTTGGCTGCAGCTATATAACTCTAACTGAGTTATATCGGAGTCAACAGTGAACCCGCATGTAGTAGGCTCAGTGCTGCACAGTAGCTACAGAGCTGCCTATGGCCTGGATAGTAGTTTCTTAGAGTGACATTGAGTCCCCACCCTCCCTTACCTGCTTAAAACTTAAGAGTCTGGTCTATGTTTGTGTCTTCTTGTAGGCAATAGTCTACAGTTAATAGAAGTTTGACTTGCTTCACTGGAATGTTTATCTCTACTGTGGAAAAAAAAAAGTATCTCTCAAAACCTGAATACGGAATAATTCAGAGAAGTGATCTCTGGTGATTTCAGAGGGTACTCTGAAGATCATGAAAGGCAACTAAAAAAGTGAGACTATCATCTTAAGACTTAAATCTCCTCCTGCTTGTTCAGTAAGATTTCCACAGGAGTTGTGTGTTGGTGCAGTACTGTTGCACTGGTGCAGCACTGCAAACATGGTTGAATGTACTCTTGAAACTGGCCCAATAACTGAAGCACTGGCCAACTCAGAGCTGTCTTTACCTTTGAATTTACAGGCAGAGAAAAGTTCTAGCCAAAAATCTGGTTGGGAATTTTATTTGTGGTTCCTTTTTTTAACTTACTACCAAACATCAAGCTGGCCCTGGCTGTAATTCTGATGAAACAGTTGGGAACTGTATCGAAGTTCTTCAGTTTTGGTTGCAGTGATGATTAATGAGATTTTAATCTTGTTGGCATTCGAATCAGGTAGGAAGTGGGGAAAGCCCTTAAAATGCTCAATCGGCTCTAATACCCTTAACATCTGTTGAAGTTTTTGTTCTAGTTATATATGTTCTCTGGCTGATTTCAGTGCTGCAGGAATTCTTAACGCCTCATCTTTACTCTCCCCAGCAGCTGTCACTGGGCATTGCCTCTGAGAGCTGGAGGCTAACAGAGAGGACCAAGCCAGGTGCATAAATATTATTTCTTTCTTCTGTACAATACATTATATTGAAAACATATTCTGCATTTTCATAACTTGGAGCAGAAGTTTTGGAAAGTGTCATCTGTTAGATGCAGTGTATATATCTTTCTATGTAGATTTTAAAATTAAGTATCACAGAGATTCCATGTGTGAAGTCAACACTTTGTAAGTCCAATTGCTGTGTCAACCAACTGATAACCACTCAACCCAAGAGAATTATCAGCACCATTTCATTCCATCATATTAAGCTCTATCAGGATTGATGTGCAACTTGAAGACTAAATACTGCTTTTCTTTTTGTGAAAATTCTGTTTTTTTAAACCAAGACTTCTGTAAGTTATTGTGACATTTAAGGAAAAAAAAGTATTTTAAAATACTTTTTGAGGTTTTGAGGTCAATAAAGAGCAATGTAAGAAGCATTTTTTAGCCTAGTCATACAAACGTCCATTGGAATTTTCTCCTTAGCATACACTCAGTTCATATATTGGTTATGAGCCTGATTTAGACAATCAGCTCTGCTCTGCAATCACATCAGAAAATGTTGCACTTGCTTTTATTAAATATAGATAGGAACCCTTATGTCTGTTATAATCAGCTGAAACAAGAGCATGCTTGAAACTGTAGGGCTCTTAGCATGAAAATTTCACCAGTCTTAGACGACAGAACCGTAGAGAACACATTTTCTTGTTTTCATGTACACCATGTAAGTAAAAGAAGTCAAGATATCTTTCCTTTAATGTCTTAAAATGGCATTCTAGAATGGAATTGGTGAAAACAGTGGCTAATGTGTGTTATTTAACAAAGCTAGAAATTCTTCCTGGCAATTGTTCCAAATCCCAAATGTAGTGCCTCTGTTTCATGGTCAAGGGAACATGGAACAGTAGTAAACTGGTTAAAACTACTCACCAAATACTGCATTTGCTCTTCACATTTGTGTATGTTTATTTCACAAGGTCCTTAATCTGAGGATCAAGAAGTTCACTTCAAAGATAGGGCATTATAGATCAATCTATCCATAGATTTTGGCGGCAGAAGGGTTAACTAACTTGATGTCCTGTAAAAATAAGAGAAAAAAATACTATCAGTTTTAAATTATAACTACCCGCTGGGACAAGCCAAAATACTAATTGCATAGCAATACCTCTAGAGATCTGCTCTCCCAGGTACATATTGCTTTTTGGGACTAAATTTCATACCTTCCTCACCACCTTCTTTCAGGAAAGCAAGCAGGTTTTCATCCTGGCAGGGAAGGTGTGTTCACCTTTCATCTCTGCCTGAAGGGATTAAAACTTACATCTTGTAAATCCTGGAAGAATGCTTTCTTTACCATCCTAGCTGCTAAGTGCTGACAAGAGTCAGGCACTTCCCGGTATCCAGGGAAGAAGTCCAAGAACCTGTGCATGTTCATGGCACACTGTGCACCTACTCACTTTAGAAACCTCAAGAATCACACCAGGGGTGCATGGAAGGCTTGAGTAGAAACCTGATAGCATTTAAGTGTTGTCATTAGATGGTTAGCTTAAATGGAGCCCTAAGAAAATGTACTTAAGAAAATATAACCTGTTAGAATATTAAATTATCATCCTAAACTTATCAGTGGGAATTTCAGTTAACTCCATTGAAGACATGGGAGCTATTACATATCTTTGCATAACTCAATGTAAACAAATCAGACCCTTGCATCAGATTCTGCATGCAGAAAAAGACAACCAACTGTTCATCTATCTCATCTCTCAGTTAACACCTTCACTGTACTTTGAATCTATGTCTGTATTAGTAAATTGAAGTGGAATGTCTCTGAGCGATGGAATTAAATTATTTATTATGTTAATTTTTCCTTTGCGTGTCTTTGGCCAGTTCCAGCTATCCCATTCCTGGATTCATGGTGGAGTTACCTCATAAGAGGGATTAGTACAGTTTCTGATAAAGTCCAATGCCTCTTCAAATGGAAGAAAGCTACATTATTTAACAATTTGTCAGTTGTTCCTTGATAGCTGGTCTCTGTGGCAGACATGACAGGCATGTCTGGGTACATCTAACATACTAGAAAAGGCGCAGCCTAGCATTCCTGACTTGAATTGGGGTGTACCCAAAACACAGGCTGCTCCTTCCTTATGGGATGGTGACCAAAAACAACATGGAAATTGTAGCTGTAAGGAAAGGGAAAATCCATCCAGGTGTTTAGTTGAATTCCTCTTTCAGTTCTGCAGCTGTATCTACCTTTCCCCAAAGAGATTACTTCAGGTGAAGCACTACTTGAAATGTAATCTTAGGAACAGAATATGAGGCTGTATACAGCCTGGCTTGTTTTCCATCTTCTCTGTCCCCAGTAGGTGACCCCAATGTGTCAATATTTGGAATGATTAACATGTAAATACAGCCATACCAAGTTATGTCATGTAAAGGGACATTCTTTCTCACTGTTGAAATGATTGTTCAATTTCTTGTTTTCCCCCGAGCCTTAAAGTCTCTGGAAACAAACCATGAAGCCAAGAGGAGGTAGGATTCTGGACTCTTGACAAAGCCGTCTTGCTCAGTCTTGCCTCTGGGTCTTTTTCTTCATCATGCGGTATGTATTTTTCCAGGTATTTTATTAATGGTTCTGTACCTTCACTGTGACAGCATGGGCTGAGATTTTTGTAGTAACAGACATATGTGCCATTTGTATGCCGTTTTTGAAGATAAATCGATTAATACAGGTAAAAATAATAAACCAGTTGGGGAACACAGCTGCACGCAGTGAAACACATACAGTGGGCGAAGCTGTGAATGCCCCGTCCCTGGGAATATTCAAGGACAGGTTGGACGGGGCTTAGAGCAACCTGGTCTGGCGGAAGATGTTCCTGCCCGGGGCGGGGGGATTGCAACAGGATGGTCTTCAGTGTCCCTGCTGACCCTGCCCCTCCGTCCCTCACGGCGGGGCCCCCAGCGCCGCCTGGCGGCGGCCGCGCCGCGCTCGGGCGGGTTGGGCCGCTGGGGGCCGCTGTGGCCGCTGCCTGAGGGGACCGCCGCGATACCTGCGGGCGGCCCCGGCCCCGAGCGCCGCCCGGTCCCGGCCGCCGCCTCCCGGGGCTTGGGAAGCGCGGCCGACACGCGGTCCAGCTGCGCGTTTGCCCGTTTCGGCTGCCAAGGGAGAGGTTTATCCACACAATCAGAGTAAACAGGGAAAGTTCAACCGGATCGTGTTTCAGCCCCCACCACCACGCCCCGAGGGGCTCCGCGGGCAGGGCGGCCGCGTGTGTGTTCTGGGGAGGGGTCTCGCAGGACGGGGCTCAGCGCTCCCCGCTTGGCTGTCATCTCTGAGGGGCCGGCGGCTGCGGGAGCGGACAGGGCGCTCCCGCCGGTGGCAGTGCCTTCGTTCTCCTCCTCCCCCGGCCCCGCTGGGAGCGCTTCCAGGCAGCGCCGCGCCGGGAGCCCAGGAAGCCGCCTCGCCACCCGGGACCGCCCGTGCCAAGAATCGGCGACAGAGGCGGCACGCCCGTTCCCTCCGTCCACCCAGATCCGCTCCAGCCGCCTCTCCGCGGGCTTCCCGGCCGGCGCGAGCAGAAATAGCCTTCCCCTTCCCCGGCAGCTCTCCCCCGCCCCAACACCTCCCCTTCCCCGCCGCAGCCGGGCCCGGAGTTCCCGGTAAACACGAGGCTTCCCCGCCCGCCCCCTGCGGGGCTGCGGCCGCGGGCCGGGGACCTGCCTGACGGGAGCTGCGCCAGGGACATCAATATTTCAGAGGCTCCTCAGCGCGTTTCTAATTAAAGGCTCGGGAGAAGCGCCCCCCCCGCCCCCCTCCCGTCCCCATCTTCCCGTCGCCGCCCCCTCCCACTCCACACACACACTTGGGACCGTCTCCTTACGTCGGAGAGAGGCGAAGGAGTGACTGAGCCCTACCCGGGAGAGCCGAGCAGGGGGAGGGACGGGGGGACCGGAGCGGGAGGGGAGAGAGGGCGGGAAGGGGGGGCTTGTGCAAGCAGCGACGCTCCCGAGGTTGCCAAGTCGACTTTTATTGTTTTCCACCCACTTCCAAGTCGATACTATCTGCCGTCTCATGTCCATCCTATAGCCTATATAAGCGGCTGCGCTGGGGTTGGCGGCGATGGAGTAGTTTGTGGATACAACGGGAGCGCAGGGACGGGAGGGGGGCGGGCGGGCCGGCCAGCCGCGGAATACTTGGACTCCCCACCACTCGCGGGCTGCTGCCGTCCGGGGAGCGGCTCCCGGGGGAAAGACACCTCGGCTTCTGGGACGGAGAGACAGGTAAAGCGGCCGGCGAGGGCCAGCAACCTCCTTCCCCTCCGTCTCCCTCCCCACGCCCGCACCCCTCCTGCCCCGCGGCGCCGAAGCGCTGCGTGCGGCGGGGCCAGTGACAGCCCGCGGGCGAGAGCGGCCCCGCCGGACCCCGCCGGAGGTGGCGGGGCAGATCCGCCGCACGGAGCGCGGGCCGAGTGTGCGCGGGCACTCAGCCGTCCGAAGGAGAGGGACTACGGGGATGCCGCTGGCCGCCGCTCCGGGCTGCTCCCCGAGTCCGCCCGCGCCCCTTCCCTGAGCCGGGAAGAGGGACAGAGAGAGGGGAGGCTGGCGCTGCCGCTCCCTGCGCACGGACGGCTGCCCCCCAGTCGCGCACCGCCTGTCCCGCCGCTCCTGCCCGCAGCCCGGCCGCCGAGCGAGAGTGGGGACCCACTCGGTGCGCAGCTGCCGAGGCTCTACGGCACAAACTTCGGAGAAAGTTATCCCATCGCCCGCGCTGCTACGCTCCGCGGCCGCGGGCGGGGCGGGGAGAGGCGGGGCGGAACGCCGGTCCGATTCGCTGGGCGCTGGGCGAGGGGTCCCGCCGGGCACCCCCGCCCGTCCACGCTGCGGGGCTGCGCACCCACTCTCCCGCGAGGCTCGGTTGCGGAACGCCGGGCGGGCACTGCCGCGGCGCTGGGCCAGCTCTGCCCGCGGGCGGGCGCTCCGGGCGGCGGGGGCAGCGGCTGACCCCCCGCCCTGCTCCGCCCCGCCAGTCCCCCGCGGCCCGGCGCGGGGCCTCTGGAGCGGTCTGCGCCCCCGCCTTGTGTAACCTGGGGAGTAGTCTACGCTCTCCCCTCCTGTGATGTTTCGTATTTCATCCCCACGACTCTCCCCACCTTCGACCCACCCCCCCGGTTTTCTCTTCCAGTGAAACAGGAGGCCTCCCACAGCAGTGGATCGTTCCTCTTCATCCCCTCGAGCACTCTTCAGGTCGGACTGCAATGAGTGGACTGAGGTCTCCTAGGCTGCTAGGGCTGGTACTCTTAATGCTCTCAGCGGGATATTGCAAAGAGAAAACTGACTCCACAGATTTGAAGGACAAGCAAAGTCTCCTAAATCTGATCATGGAGATCATTCAGGAACTGAAAAGGTACCACCTGGAGAAGGAGAGTGGGCTGCAGTACTTCTCCAAGCATGACTATAACTTGGATCGAAGGGAAGTGGCTGACTATGGAGGATACCAGGATGAGCAGAGAGTTGGTAAGTCGTCATAATCCATGACATAGGAGATCTTTTTTTTCTCTAGGGTGCTTGGTGAATGAGATAGCACATCAGGTTACTAATTTTATATGAAGAATTCACTGCTCAAAATATTGCAGGTTCCCTTTGGTATCAGAAACAGACACAGATGGTAAATTTGGAATAGAAAACTTCCAGTTACATCTCAGAGTCTTTTACTCTCTGGATAATGTACTCAACTGCAAGTCCAACTTCCTGTGGCTTTGAACGAAACCTATTAATAAGGGAATAAACTGAAATGGGCTGAGCTCAAAGAAACAAGGGATGAAAACGCTCTTTTTCCTGGAAGGTTACCACTTATTGTGGTAATGTGCGTGGTTTAAGTGTTTCTTGGAAATGACCCTAGCAAGAATTCCCCTGCAGGACTATAGCAGGTCCTTAAAGACCCCATGTCTAGAAGTCTTTCCTGAAGCTCAGCTTCATTGAACTTTTAGCCCTGCTTGTTCATTCCTTTTGTACTCCAGAGGTAGCACCTTTGAAATACTAGGGAACTGAACCACTACTCCTCTACCACTGTAGAGGTTGTGACCAATCTGGAACATTCCTGCAGTCATACTTCTGTTCATTTAACTGACTCTTCTCTAACCTCCAGTGAAAGCCTAGGTTTGTTTGTAAGATGTTCAGGTTGCACAGAGCAGTCCAGAAGTAGTCATACCAGCCACACAGTGATGGATAGTTCCTGCTCAGTTTTGTGATGTACCTCTGTGCATCCTGTTGAAAATTGATTTGGCTTCTCCTGCTGCCATGCCTAATTTACTGTTCCCTGTCACTCCCAAGCCCCTGCAGCATTACTGCTGCTCATCTTACCCCTCCTACTGAAAGTGACTTTCTGAGTATTTTCCAGCAAATGCCTACTCACCTTTTCCCAACGTGGCTTTTATTTTGTTTGTGTGCTATTTATTTTGTCTTTATTGATCTCATAAAACTTCATTGTACCTTTTCTTCATTCTCATTCATATTCAAATATCCTTGTGATTTGCATTTATTGGTGGTTGTCATGAAAATGTTGCTTCTCCATGTGGATGATTAATGAATGTACAAAGGAAGACAATTTTGTTCTGCTTAAGATCATCAGGGAGAGAACATTTTGTTTTATAAATGCTGAAAAGTCAAAGAGGCCAGACTAAGCAGGGAATCCTGATCTGCACAACTTTAAATCTCACCTTGGAACATGGACATAATTTTTGGTCACCGTACATCAGCATATTGGTGTGAAACATCTGGCTTGTGCAGTATAATTAATTAATAAACCTGCTTCAGAGCAGATTAGTTGGTAGTGTTGTTACTGACTCCTAGGCAAGATTTTTCATTCTGTTATTATAATGGAGTTATTCCCAGCAACTCTGAAAATGAACTACTAGTTAAGAGTCTTTCATTTCAGTTTTGGCATCACTTTCCCAGTGAGTTGGTCCCATGGGAAATTTCTGAGTGAAGCATGTGTGTTTTTAATGCTCTTCATGACATAATTAGGTCAAATTGGATAAGGTCAATTTTACTTACACTGACTAAAGTTAGAAGTAAATGAAGAATGACTTTCGAGAAGTGTCTAAACTCACAAGTGAATCAGATCTGGATGGAAATGCTCTCTCGCTTTATATCTGATAAGAGGTGCCAGGGGAGTGAAAAAGGCTGCTCAGGCATTTATGGTCAAATAAATAAAGCACCATGTAGTGTATCATACACAATCAGCACTAAGCTATCAGCATAGAGTTTGTAACGGAAAGCAATCAAAGATAGCTGTAAATCAGGAAGTCACAAGTGAGGGTTAGGGCTAAAATGGATTTCAGTAAACCAGTTTCATTTTGCCATCTGCTGAACACAAAACGCAAGGCGGTAAACCACAAACACAGGGAGCCAGAAGAGAGCAATTTGCTTGGAATCATTTCCTGTGAATTTTATTTACTGCTAAAGGGGAAGGAAAAAAAATTCCTGTAAGTAGATCAATCCGGTTCCATGATTACAGCAGAACAGTGCTAGTACAAACATACCTGTGATAGAATAGTGGACATATTTGCATAAGAGAATTAGAAGACACAACGCCAAACTTGAATTTATCTTTGGATCTTTACCACTAGTGTAATATACTATTTCTGAGCAACCATGAACTAAAATTTTTTAAAGAATTTAAATCTAGGTAAATTTGATAGTATAATTCATAGAGAGCTAAAATCTGACTCTTAGTAAATAACCATCATCATTAATGACCACACATCTAACAGATATTGTTTCATCATCACAGTGTGTTTCACAGAGCATTTTACAGGGGTTCCTATGTAAAACAAGTGCTTGAAATTTGGCCTACTATATGCAAAGGACTTTTGACCTCTGTGCACCTGTCAAGACACAGTGGTGATGTTTGCTGGACAGAATATTCCCTGTCCTCATATTATGCTTGGCAAGCAGAGTTCCAGTGCAGCAGAGTGACTATTCTTTTTTCTGTCCAACAGAAATAGTTCCCAGAGATCTGAGGATGAAAGACAAGTTTTTAAAGCATTTAACAGGTATGTTGTAATTTTGCATTGGTATCCATCATTTAATGTACAGACCATAAGCTGCACTACTCTTCCTGTGACCTGTGCTAATTCATAACTTATTGTTTCTTTGTATTTCAGGTCCACTCTACTTTAGCCCAAAATGTAGTAAACACTTTCATCGGCTTTATCACAATACAAGGGACTGCACCATCCCAGCATGTAAGTGACAAAACGAGAAACTTCCCTAAAACAAAAGGAAACTCAAATTTAATAGGTCTGTCAGGTAACAGTAGTGATACAAGGTCAGAACTCGTTGTTTGCAAGGAAGAGTTTTGAATGCTCTGAAATATACTAAGTATTCTTTACAGCATTGCTAGGACAGCATCAGCATTACAGAGAGGAAAATGGAAACAAAACCTTTTCACTGGAAATACATTGTGAACAATGGTTCTAAACACTGTGTCCTTAGGTACGGATGTATATGCCTCCTGGGTTCCAAATCAAGTGTTTACTTTTCACAGGAACATGACCCCTCTCACAAACATCTCATATTTACTTTCTAGTGCTGCAAATTCAATATAGGATCAGAAATCCAGGTGGGATTATTTCCTTTTCATTGATTATTTGTCTAGAACATATTTTATAGACATTTTCTATTTCGACTATTCAGCTACCAGTCTATCAGTGGTGTTGACAATTAATCTTTGCAACACTTGTGTTCACTGAATTACAAAAATATAACTTCCTCAGGCTTAGGAAAAAAAAGTGCTGATGGACACAAATAAGCAAATGCAGTTTATGATATCTCTTCACTGTTGGCAGCACAGAGACAATGAAATCAAACACTGACATTATCAGTCCATAGATGTGACTCCAGATTCATACAGAGGTGGACCTGTTGAGTAAGCAGATGCTATTTTAGTACAGCCTTTTCAGAATGGAAGCACACTTTATTTTACTTGTTTGAGGTCAACCACTTGGGTCAGTAGCAGAGCTGGGAATAGAAACAAGAGTTACAGATTCCAAGTTTCAAGTATTAATAAATATTTCAGCCCAATATACTTAAAAGGCATATTTGGTAAGAATTGTAGACTTTTTCCCTGTTTGTAAGGCTTCAGATTACGAATGCTTTGGAAAGATAGGGATTTATAGATGATAGGATCCCATTGTGTTTGTATGGGTGGAGATAGAAGTTGTTCATAACTTGTCTGTTTGAACAAGCAAATGGTCATATTACCTTTTTCATAAAGATTACAATACAAACATCATTTGACTCAGCACAGCTCCAAGCTGTGAAGCTAAAAACTAGTTGGCCTAAAATCTAAATTAGCCTTTTCCTTCTGACAGGTGACATACCCACCAATATCATGTCTGGATAATGGAGGATAATTTGGACGAATGGCAATTATAGCATAACTATGCTGTGAGTTAGAGATTAGTAACATTGCATCTCTAGGAAATATTAGATGTAGTTACTCATTAATGAAATAATGCCTAATGAAAATCAACATCAGTTACTGGACTGGACTGACTAGCATCTTTTGAAGTAACTTTCTTCTAGGAAAATGACGTAAACAGCCTACTTTAATTCTTCATGCACAGAATGATGTTACTTTTTGACTTCAAATAATACTGTTCATTCTGTGTAGAAATTCAAAGGCCAAAGAAATTAAAAGCATCTATGAGGCTGCAACATGGTGGTAGCCAGTACAAAGGAATTTTGCTGGCACCCTTTCTAGTATTTTGCACACCATAGTAGCATTGACACCTGAAAAGTAATTTAGTTTTCTGTCTGTCCATAACTAGCTTTCACATTACTTGCTTTCAGTTTGTCATGTTAATGAAAAAAAAAAATCCCTTTGATTTTTTTTTTTAGTTTTGCATTGGTTCTGTTCCTTATTACAAATGCATGAAAAAGAAGAAGGTACCTAAAATATGAACAACTAATAATAGGACTACTATGGAAAAAAACAATTTTACTAGTTTTGAGATGAAACTTGATAGTTATGAATGTTTATGATGTGGTCACATACTTGGGCTGGACTTAACATTCCTATGACTAAATGTTATTTGTCTAATTTGAAGAAAATCTATTGGAGAGTGGCATTACTTAACATTAAGTTGATAGATTGTTCGTTGAGGGCTGGATTTTAAAGGTGGATGAGCACAACTTACTCTTCCTCTAGTATGGAGATACTACAGTCACATGTTTAGATCCTGAATGTAAGCATAGACACAGATATATAAATTTTCATGCATATATACACTTGGAGTGTCTCCAAGCACATTCATGCTATTTGTTTACAGATGGAACATATGCAGAAGTCAGTTGCACAGTTAATGTGGCATTAGACATGGCTTTCAGTTACACAGTTTTTACACACTGCATTTCTAAGTCTAAGGAGTTGACTTTTTTTCTATTGCAAACTAAGGTATTCATTAAACTTTACTACAACACTAATTTGACACTGATATCAATGTTGATTTTTAAAGGCAAAATTGGTTACTTTGGTAATCTATTTATGCTCTTTTTTCATGACAGACTATAAAAGATGTGCCAGGCTTCTTACTCGGTTGGCAGTAAGCCCAGTGTGCATGGAAGGATAAAGGTAAGCTTTTTCTTAGCAGTGATGATATTCCACTGCATAGCAAAGCAGTGGATGTTGTGCTTCATACATGAGAATTCATGGGTGTTTAATAACAACTGTCCTTTAGCAAAGGTATTCCCCTCTCACGCAACTCAAAGGAACTGGCTTAATCTGGCAAATTTTGGCATCAAGGAAAGGGTACCCCCTGCTGGAAGTCATTACATAAAAGTCCATGTGCATCATCTGTGAATTATTTATAGCAGCATACAGTTAGCAGATAGTGATTTGTTGTTGTAGAACAAAACTCTACAGCTGTGGCTTATTTTTCAAGAGTTGACTCAGTACACAATTGCCTGTATCAGGAGCAGCAGCCACCCTTTTATGTGTGCAGCTGTACATCTATGGTGTACTCTTTAGTCTGAGTTAATATATACATAGCTATACACATGAAAGCTTTATAAATGTAGATAGGCTGCAGGTGCTTTTATAGTAATTCAATTAAAATGTATTATTAGTAGCACTGATAAACTAACTTCAAGCTACTCGGATTTCCTGGGATTTCACTGTGTTCACCTCTCATGTCTATGGGTTAATTCCCTCCCTTCTTGCCTACATGTACCTCTACTTCCCACAAATATTTGGGAAATTTCATCATGCACCAAAATAAAAAGCCAACCAACCAACCCAAAAAGTACCTCCAATCTATCTGTATTTTTAGGAAACTGTCAAAAAGAATACAGAAGGACTAATTCACATTCTGTCCTCAACCTTTTCCTGAGATGAAAATGTGACCTTGGACAAAGGGATAAATAATGACCATATGGACCTGTTAGTAACAAATGCTGTCAAACCAAGGTATTTTAACTGTGTGACAAAATAAACATCTAGTGGAGAGAATCAGTGAGAAAAAGTAATAAATATTAATAATTTTAGTTTACTTTTTTAAAGCATTGACAGTGTTTTGCATGGCGTTCTCAGAAGGAAGCTAGGGAAATGTGATCAAGGTAAATGTAAAAATGACTGGAAAAAGATACACAAGTTATTAGTGCTTTACTGTCAAAACTGGAAAAATGTATTGGGCAGCGTCACACAGCTTCATTTGGGTATGATATTCAATACTTTCATTAATAACTTGGGTGATAGAATACTATATTATTAGAGTAGTGTAGGAGAAGCAACCATGACACAGTACAATCTTGAAAATATACTAATCTTAGAAAATAAGCTGAATAGTCTAAAACAAGGATAAAATTTAAAGAGCAGAATTATGAAGTCACGTAGGAGTATTCAGCTTCAGAGTTACCAGAGTGGCAGAATACATGGCATTTTGTGAACAGACAAGATGTTTTGTCAAAAACATAGGGGTTGTAGTGGATCACAAACTAAACAAGTCAACCATGTCCCACTTGAAAAAAGTCAAACAACATACTGAAATTTATAAATAAAATAATTGTTTATGAAACATCTGAAATAATCAGTTACTGGAATACCGTATTTAATTAAGGATACCACCCTTGAAGACATATGGGTGATTCTTAAAAGAGTCCAGAGAAGAGCAATGTGGATTACCAAAGGCCTAGAAAAAGTTTAACAGAAAAGTTAAAGGAGTTGGGATTGTTTAGTCTAAAAAAAAGATGACTGCAGGAAAACATCACGGAGCTATTCAATTTCATAAAAGGTTGCTACAAGCCATTCTCTCAATCCACTGTGGATAAATAAGACATAATTTGTTTAACTTTGCAAATAGGTGAATATTATTACCAATACCAATAAGCGGATACATCAGAGTAGGAAATTATTTTCTCCCTTTCTTTAGGAAACTTTATCTTAACATCCCGTCATGTAATCACAGACTTGCAGTACGAAGGAGTTCACATCTCAAGCTGGGAGTCTATTTAAAAATTTCCATCTCTGAAAAAACACCTTTGTTCAACTAGCAGGCATGTTGCAATGTCAATAACAACTCCACTTCTGTTATTCTCCACACAGACACAAATCAGTAGTGGTAGGATTGTTAAGCAACCCCTGTTAGTAGAAAGACAGACTATTCTCTGCCACATATGCTTTGAGATTCATAAATGTCTCCATAAGATTAAGCATCTTTTCCCCTCAAAGCTTTTTCACTGCATCAGTTCAATTTGTGTGAAACAAATTAGGTTTCCTCTTTTGCTTATTATCTGATTTTCATTTCATTGGAGGCTTCAAGTGGGCTGGGCTACAGATGGATTATTACCCTGGACAGCTGTGACTGTCTCGTACCTGAGCGGGCGCATGTGTGCTTGTGGTACAACGTGTCTTATGGAGCCTTCACTTTTTCTCATTTACCCTACACATGTGTAACTGGGCTCCATCTTCTCTTTTTTTAGAGCGTATGCTCCCATTCTGCCTGTTCCACAGATATGAGAAATGCAGGGACCCAGTAACAGCCCTTCAGCTTGTTAAGATTGCATGAGTGAAGCCAGAGCAACAGATTTGTATTGCCACATCACTCAGTAGTCCTTTTTTTTTTTTTTTTTTTTCAATCAGCAACCCAAGCAATATTCCTTGGCTGCCACCAGCCCCATCTCTGATTAATTTTATTCTGTAACCCCTTCTTGTGGTCAGCACAGCTATAGTAAGAGTCCTGTCCTTGATGCTCTTTTTTGTTCTGTCAGCCAGCTTCCTAGTATTTCCCATATTCCATGGTTGCTTTGTCCCACCCCATACAGATACATCCCACAACTGTGATGTTGTCTGTATCTGCAGTAGGTAAGAAATGTCAGGAACAAGATTCCTGAAGACTTCACCTAAATAAAGTTCCCATTTCAGATCTTGAGTATTTCCTGTGATGGTGATGAATCTGAAAATCTGTCACGTTTGACAGCATTTGTCACAGCCACTTTGGCTACAGTCATACAGATTTTACTGCTTTTGTTTGGAAACTCTGGTGTTACTGTTGGTGCCCTCCATTTTCCATTAGGAGTTCTTTAAGTATTTGCTAGAGCCCACCACTGGTCTCACAATGTATGTTGAAAACCTTCTTGTACCATGAGCAGTAGTTCAAAGACTAAGGACTGCATTATCACATATTATTACATCCTTCTGTTTTGAAGATTTCTTCTGATGTCTATACTGACAAGTTTTTATGGTTTTTTTTTTACTTTTTAAAGTAAATCACTCTGATTTCATAAAAGTGAAGGTGAAATTAAGATGAGGGGGTTTTGTATTGTTCAGTGAAGGCAGACCCTCTTCTTCTAGAATATATAGCTTGACCCATCACATACAGCTTCTCAGGGCATGTTCAGTCACCTCTGTCTGGTGCCAGGAAGTAGTTCCCAAGGTAACTAATTTAAGACTCTTATCAGAACTACTGCTTTGCATTAAATAGGCAGCCAGTGCAGGTTACTAGTGTGGCATAGTCCAAGTTTAGTAAGAGCAATTTGTACTTTTGCTTACTATGGGATGTCTGTGGCTAACACCAGATGGAACATTAAGAACTTTATCATCAGTGCATGGATCTCTCTCATTACACCACAGACTTCCACCTGGGTGTGCATACTTGGGGAAAGAATTTTTTGATGTAAGCACATGGAAGTTCTGCTACAAAATCCTACTGGCACGGTATTTTAAGGTTTATATTGATCTTTAAACCACTACATTCTTCTCATATACATTAGCTTTTTCTTGCAGGATTTATCATCATGCACAGATAATAACTAGAAAGAAATCTGGAAAGCTGTTAATATGCCTTTACACTAGCTTTCATTTATGCTTTCAAAAATTGGAACAATTGCATGGGTTGGTTGGTTGGTTTGGGTGGGGGCTTTTGTGTTTTTTTTTCCCTTGCATTAGCAAAGGAGAACTAAAGACTGAATTAAAGAGGGGAAAGGAACTGTATAGTTACCTATATTCTCAACAGATGCTGTAGTCAAATCGTGTTCAGGATCTCCAGTAAGACTACCAGTCACCTTTCAGCTAAATTAGAGTCTAATTTTCCTAGACTGATCCATATAATGTGAAATAAAAAGTTAAAAGAAAGTACAGCAGATTAATCAATGCTAAAAATATGAGGCCTTTTCAAGGGTCTCTGAAAATGCCAGGGGTTTAGAAAACTGTAAGTTACCTGAGCACTGGGAATCTAAGATCCAGAGCTTTTGATCAGATACCCATGCAAAAGCAGGTCTGGATAAGCATCCTGTCTGCTGTTTTTCACCCTCAGCGAGCTGTATATTCCCACTAGTAATGAAAAATATTTATTACATTTTTAGTGTTTAACCTGTCAGTTGTACCACAAGTGTACCACACGCTGATCAAACCGAAAGCACGTTAATTTCTTTTAAACATCACTTTTAAACATCATAGCCTAAACAGGGTACAGTAGGACCATACATACAGAAAATAAGCTAGATGAAAATGCAAGACAAGGAAAATTTACATCAGTTTCCACTCTAAGGAAAGACATTAAAAAAAAAGAAGTCATTGTCCTATCTGCAAAGCCAGAGAAAACCCCTAAATTACATTAAGCTTTTCTGTAACATTATTACATTTCCTAATAGCTTTCAAAAATTGCAAAACTAAATGTTTAAATACTACTAACAAGTATTTCTGTATGCACCAATAGCTTGATTTCCAATGGATTATGTCAAGTCCAACTGACTTTGCATCCAAATGATTCCATTATGAATTATACTTAAGCAGTAGAAAATGTAGAGAAACGCAGAGTATCAGAGAATTCACCCTGATCATGGGAAGGAGAGTTACCTACGTTCAGACAGACAATATGAAAGCTTTAACTGTGAAAAACGTCATCAGCAGAACTCTAGCATCAGAATACCACTGATTTTTATCTCCCACATGGACTTTGGACATCTATGAGATACACAAGCTTCAGCTGAATCTGTTCACATGTAAGAGCTATGTCTTTTGACTGTGTAGTTCCTGCTGATTAAAAAGACATCATACAATTTTTAGTTCTAAAAAAGAACAATAACAGGCTTAGAAGGACATGAAACTGGGTGGACAGACTTGCAGCATTCAGTGGTCATCCATCTAGAAAATCTGGTTGCAGAAAACAAACTCAGAAGTTACTGGAGAGAGGATGGACTTTTAGATATGTATACTTATACTCAGTTACTCAACATTTTCTTAAAATGGCTTAAAGGTGTGGGGCAACAGGGGTCTGAAAACCTTCACTGTTCAACCTCTGAATCAACATTTCTAGAGTACAGACAATATACATACATAACCAATGTGGAAACCTGTCATTTTGTATCAGTGATTTTGATATCAGTATCATAGAAGTGGTTTTGATTTCATTCCAAGAAACTATTCTGGGAAGAGTTACTAGAACCACCAGCAAATTGAAACACTGCAGCTCCTCCTCAGTTTGTGCTGCCTCAGTGTTTGCATGTTCCAGGAGCTATATTTATACGACCAAATCTCAGAAATTTACTTCTATTTGTTTCTTGTTTATACGATTCCAAGTTTCTTCAAATGGGCCCAGAGAAATATCAAATCCTTCCTAGATCTTATCAACAACTTACTGACACCAAGGCATCTAGACAGACTTTTACAGTCTGATAATGCTATTTCTGAGGTTTATTCACTTTTTGACTTCACAGCTGCAGTCATTAGAACATGCCAGACTTAACTATGAGCATATTTTGTACAGGAACTGGATTTTCCTTATCTGTCTACCTAAAATGAACCAACACAGCTTTAACTAACAAACTATTAATTTAACAGTCAGGTTGATACAAACTGAGCTAAATAAGAAATGCGCTACTGGATCTTTTAAAAGTTCTTATGGAATTCTCAAGTTTTATTTATTTTCAGCATGTTAAACACATTTTCAAACACATGTATGTGAATATAAAAGTGGTGAAAGGCAATTTTCTTCTTTCTTTTAATCCACCAGATGTTGTTACCATGACAAGAAACACCAAGAACCAAGAGAAGTGCCTTGGAAACCAACAGGGAAATAGAACTTACTACCTTTTAGCAAATTCCATTGTGAACAAGAGATTTATTTTTGCAGATTGAGACTACTTCCCATAATTCTTTTAACATGCATTTTGTATGCCATCAAGTTTGCAGATTGACATCCTTTACAGTAGCATAACTGCCAGTAGTATTTAATGCTCCATACTTAAAAACACACTTTACAATTGATGTGTAATGCTGCCAAAAATGATGTAAACACAAATAATTCACCAAGAAAATTGATGTTCTATTGCTTAATTCTAAAATTTTAAGGAATGTTTGTTTGTATATCTAGAACTACTAAAGATCTGCTCCACGGTAGTTGTGGTCACTTGATACTCTTCATGCTTATGCAATTTTTTTAAAAGTTTGGTTAAAACAGACTTGCATTGGGGTCACATTGTACCCTGGGAGTACAAACTGCATGACAAACAGGAACGTAATTCCAAGTAGACATACTTTTTGGGACAGTGGAGCATGGATTTTGTACACAAACACAAGCTGCCATTAATTTACTTTATATAATAAATGTATAAAACATTCCAGTGAACGTGCAATATGTAAATACTGTAAATAACGAGCATAAGTAATAAAGTGTTTGGTATTAAGTTGTTCTCAATTTGCTTTCTGTTCACTGAATCCAGGTAAACAAGCTACCCTCTGGTAGCTACTGTCCACACTTAAACCTCTTTCCAGTAAGAGCTCACTAGTGTAAGAAGGAAAGTTATATCCACCTCAGAGAAGTTCAGTAATCTGGACACTCTCTACGTGTCTTCCAATCTCACGAAATGCCCACAAGGCTGCTCCAATTCTCTCCAGCATTATAAGATGTAATGTTTTTTATAAATCACAGTTGGTTTAGGATTTTTTGTTTGTTTGGGATTTGGTTGGGGGGGGCTTTTTGTTCATGTTTGTTTTGGGGGTTTAGTTTGTTTTTGTGAGTTTTGTTGTTGGGATTTTTTAAATAATCTGCAGTCTATTCATGATACTGCAAGGCAATATAATCAGCAAATGTCCAGTAAATCATTTTACTATTCTAGAATTTTCAGGGAGTCAGTGAACACTTACTTGAAAAGCCTTGATACACAATTCTCTTTCTTCCCTAAATCAGCTATTAAATCCAGTTGACATTTTTTATGTGCAATCTGTAGATGAACAACACGTACTTTTATCTAATACTGGCATTTAGTTTTAATTCTATCCTCAATTTGAACCACAAAATGTAAAACCAAAACTAGACACGTCCCTCCCCACCCTGAAAACTCTAGGACCTGAGATTCTTGAAATGGACATTTAAGAGCCTTCAGCATCCAGCTCTTTATAAGAAAAGAGAAAATGGCAGAAGTAAAATCCCATCCAAGAACATGGCTGCGTTTAGCAGGGGAGAATTACATATTTTTATTTGCTTTCAGTGACCACTAAATATTTCATCTCTCAATGGATGCAATATGTGGCTATAGAAAACTTGGTAGTTAAAGAAATCTACTACTACAGGATTCACTCAGCTGCTCACCTGCAGTAAACATGTGGGTGGAACTCTGAGCTTCACTGTGATTCCACTGAACAAACAGTACTGTGCAACTGTCCCTCCTGAAGGCAATTCCTGTTCTCTATTCTTGGCTTCTACAAATTTGTATAACGTACCATGGTGATCTCCCTCCCCTTTTCCAGAAAAAAAACTACTAATAATAAAAATCAATTTATCAGCTTATTCCTCCTACTAGAGCTAGTGAATTATTTAGCCAACAGATTACTTGCTGAATATGTATCTCAAGGCTGAAACTTTTAAATCCGAACTGAATTTAACTTAAATAGTTTTGACTTAGTATCACTTTACAGAAAGATTGCTAAGCCTAGTAAAGGCAAACAACCATATACTTTTATCTCCTTTCTGTTACCCCAGCAACTCAAAGATTTAAGACCTTTAAATCTTAGCTTTAATATGCAGGAAACTGTTGAATTCCTACACAGCCATGAATGGGAAAGCACACCATGTTCTCAATCTTGTGAGTTATTTTAATTTCACTGGCATATTTGAAATGGTCATTCAGGCAGAGAATAGCATTAGATTACACCTAAACACTTCCACCTTTGAGGTTAATGCATAAAACCACATTTAAGAGGGTTTGTCCCTAACTGCCCATCATTTTTCCCCGTTTACTTTGTCAAAGCATGCATACAGACCTGAAATACTGTGTTACTCTTTGTGCTTGAAGTGAAACAGCTATTAACTTGCAAATTTCTATTTGATTTTTAGAAGTCAAAACTACTGGTAATGCAATAATGCACAAAGATTCTATGTTTAAGCGTTCCATGTACACTTGCCTTTTTGTAAGCAGGTTCTTAAGTTATAGGTCTGACTGAAATTTTAGCACAAAACAGAAACGTCCCTAACTCAAAACAGCTGTTCTACAGCAAAAGTCCCAAGAAACTTAATTCCTATGGTGAAGGTTTGCAACACACACAGAGTGACACCACGATTCCAACCTCCCCAGGAATAACAGTATCCTCTACTGAAACACATCTTTCCCCCAGAAGAAAAAGCAGGTGACAAATACAGAGACTGCTACGTTGAAAGGCAGGAGGAGACACAAAAAAAGGCTAAATGAATCTGAAAGCAAATTTTATAGATCCAGTTTTACAGATGTGGTAATGCTTGTTCATACCAATGCAGATACCAGTTAAAATAGGAAAATGATCATGGTACCAGTTACATTACTGATCTCAGTGCATTTACATTTCTAAGGCAGACAAGAAAGGTGATGTTCAGACAAGCAGGTACAGATTTTTACAAAGCATTTTGTCCAAGAGCAGAACTATCTACTTACTGGCCTTTGGTTAACTTTGTACTATATTACAGATGGACTCTATCTGGGTTGAACTATGCTTTCAGAGAACACTTCTGACAGGCTGTCCATTCTCCTGAGTAAATCTGTAAATACTGTTCTGATGCTCATGTAGGAACTGGGATTATAGCAAATTTCTCATCTATTATATTGCATGGATTTGAATATTTTACTACTGTATGTGATTTCACATTCCAGCTTTTAAGCTGATACATTTTGTTGTCAAAGTAAATCCTACGCTTCATGGACTTGTGTCAGTGTGCTATACAAATCGACCAAAAGACCAAAGGAAGACTACAAGTCCTAACCAATTTCTGAACTGTGTTCATCTTAACTAGTATAAAAGTGTACTGGCACAAAAATTATTTCTTCTTTGAATAACTAAGCATTTAAACTGACAGAAAAAGCTATTTTCACTGGATTCTGATGACACACAAGGAGGCTTTGCTTGCTTAAGCTTTCAGATAGTGCTAAGAGCAATGTCTGCCAGGCAGCAGTTCTTTGAGTCTAGAAGGCTTCCTGTGAAACAGCTTCCATCCAAAGGCTGCCTCATGATACTGACACATCTAAGGTACACACCAACTATTATCTCACAGACTCCCACTGAAGGTTGACTGAAATTAACTCACTGAGGACACGATGACAAGACCTCAGTTTAGTTAATACAGCACATAAAGAAGCAAGATGTTACCGTTTCAGTGCTTGTGAGAAAGCACTGGAAGAGTTTACAGATACATTAATCCTGAATTATATACTTTATTACTACACTGATGAGTGACAAAATCGTTGATCATGTAATCCAATTTAAACCTTCCTATATTTTTTCATTAGATGATAGAAAAGCTAAAATACAAAATTAAACTGAATAAGTACTGAACACAAGGCATAATTTTACAATTTAAATACATCAATCAAGTAAACTTTACGTATTTCAAGAAAAGCTAATTATTTTCTTTTAGAAATTAAATGATGAAGCATTAATGAGGTTTCTCCAAAAATGCTTTACAACATCTAAGACATTGCTCGTAAACAGTTTCAAAGTCCTTTTCATTCCCCTAGAAAAGAAGAGAGGAAAAAGACTGTAAGAATAACAATATTAACTAAAAAAAAAAAAAAAAAAATTGCATCTCAGTTTCTCTGTTGTCATAATGGTGCAAATACTTGGTGATAGCTTTTGCATATTTCTCTCTAATTTGAACTCAAGAACTTCCACAGACAAACACTTGGACTTTGTATGAAACAGTTCTGGATGACTTTCCTTCACATATTTTCTTCACAAATTTTTCTTCCACTCACTTTTTGAGCCCTTATGAATCTTTTCCTTTTTTCTTTACATTTACACTAACCTGTCTCATTGAGTTTCAGTTTAATGAAGCACTGTGTGGAAAAAAATCCAAACCAAAATTCTTTTTGTTTTGAATCTGCTTCTCCCATTAAAACCATTTCATATTCTCTACTTCCTGGGTAATGAAGAGCAATTCCTTATTCACCTTTTCCCATTATATCAAGGTTTTATAGAACTCTACTGCATCTTCATCCACTTCTCTTTGCTAAACTGAAGAATATTAATCTAATTGTTTGTTCTTGGCTCGCATTATTCAACTTCTTTGATCACCTGTGTCCATGTCTCTGTCTCTATCTTTCCTGATTACATCCTCTGCAAGGAGGCTGATCAACCAGGGCTTCACCCAATATTGAAAATATAGGTGCACTGCATTATTTAAATGTAAATAAATGCAAGCATAAACATATGTTTTCCTTTCCTATTACAGTTAATTTATATTGTTTTCTTGTCATAAAAAAAAAAATGTTTACACTTGGCTTTGTATGACTTTACATTATATGTCACATGCCAACTGTGGGATCTGGAAAGATTAAATACCACACATACACAATTTTTAACCAAGCCACCCAAAGAAGTTTTTACACTTACGTAGTACGGATCTTCAATAATAAGCTGTTTCTGTGGATCATAACTTCCAAGTAGCTCAATTTTGGCCTTGCAGTCTTTAACTTGGTTGCTTTTCCTGTTCAGATCTCTGTAAAAGAGAACATAAAATTTTCCCCTGAATTTTTCTCCAGAATTTCTACATCAACACGAGATGTTCATGACTGTTTCTAGACAACACTGGAAAACAACACACATTTGGACTCAGTCAATCCTGTGGATCCTACGCTGCTGCTTGGTTTTGTTTCTTTCCTGTTGTGTGGGGTCTTGTTTAATTGAGTATGAAGGACATACACATAAACTTAATTAGGAGCATAAACAGTCAGGCACTTGACCTATAGCTTAACAAACCTTTGTAACAGTAAGTTCAGCAACTTCTTCCTCAAATCAATCATTAGTACTTC